GAGGCAGAGGAGGGGAACTAGGGTTTTCCCCTTCATCACTATTTGGTGAGTGGGAGGTATATGGACAGGCAGGTTAAGGGGCATGACAGCCTGCAATTCGCACTGCTTGCTTGCAGGAACAGCAGGGATCTGGGAGGGGTCCATGGGTAGAGTCAGTGAATCTGAAGTTCAACTATGTGCCCAGCTGGGAAGCAAGAATGGACAGGCAGAGTGGTGGTGCAGGCCTCCACACCTTCTCTTCTACCCTCCAAGACCTTGATATCATCTTCCACCTTCTTCTTTGCACCTGGAATCTCCCTCAGCAGTGTGCCTACATCTTCCTCCAGACACAGAAGAGTCTTCATGGCAGCTGGGGGCAGCCAACCTCCATGCCAGGGTAGGGACAGCAGCAGGGCCATCGGCATGGGCTTCTTTCTCTTCTTGAGTCTCCAGGTATCAGCTCTGGGTAGAGGACAGCTCTCTGATGGATCACAGGAAAGTTTTTGGCCCTGCAACTCCTTGGTTGAGCCCTGGGAGACTGGAGAAGTAGGCAGATGGTGTTTGTCCAGTGAGGTGAATAGAGAGTCTACTAATTGGGAACAAATTCTTACCACACACACATCAGATACAGCAGTAATCTCTAGAATATATAAAGAACTCAAAATCTAAACACCAAAAAAAAAAAAACAAAAACCCAACAACAACAACAAATAACCCAATCAATAAATGGACCAAGGAACTGAACACACACTTCTCAGAAGATGATATACAATCAATCAACAAATATATGAAAAAATGTTCAACATCTCTAGCAATTAGAGAAATGCAAATCCAAACTACTCTAAGATTCCATCTCACTCCAGTCAGAATGGCAGCTATTATGAAGACCAACAACAATAGGTGTTGGAGAGGATGTGGGGAAAAAGGTACACTCATACATTGCTGGTGGGACTGCATATTCGTGCAGCCAATATGGAAAGCAGTATGGAGAATTCTTGGAAAATTGGGAATGGAACCACCATTTGACCCAGCTATCTTACTCCTTGGTCTATACCCAAAGGACTTCAAAACAGCATACTATAGGGACACAGCCACATCAATGTTTACAGCAGCACAATTCACGATAGCTAAACTGTGGAACCAATCTAGATGTCCTTCAGTAGATGAATGGATAAAGAAAATGTGGCATATATACACAATGGAATATTATTCAGCATTAAAAAAGAATAAAATCATGGCATTTGCAAGTAGATGGATGGAGCTGGAGAATATAATTCTAAGTGACATTAGTTAATCCCAAAAATTCAAATGCTAAATGATTTCTCTGATTTAAGGATGCTGATCCATAATATGCTATGGGGGAGGGGTGGATGGGAGGATTAAATGAACTCTAGATAGGGTGAAGGGGAAGGGGAAGGGAGGAGGCATAGGGGTAGGAAAGACGGTGGAATGTGATAGTCATCATTATCCTAGGTATATGTATGAAGACACAAAGGATGTGACTCTACTTTGTGTACAACCGGAAATATAAAAAATTGTGTAGTATGAATTATAATACATTCTGTTGTCATATATAAAAACTGAAATATTTTCAAAATTCAAAATACAAAAAATGATAAAAAAAGAGGATCCAGATTTTTCAAGGTCAAATGCCTTTTGTATACATGTTCTTGTTGAAGCAGGGGGGATCATTTCAAAGAATTGATCATTGACTTAGATGAGTGGACTCACCCAACCTAAAATAGACACTCAAGCAAGGTGCAGCTAACAGTGTCTCTGGTTTGAGAATAAAGCACACTTTACACCAGGAGGGGAATCATCAATGACAATAGTGCTTGTTTGTGAGCTTCAGGTGGGTGGTGATGATTTTATAGGTCAAACTACAAAATAACTTTGTAGTTCTTGAGTTAGGATGAGGCTATTTTGTCCTTTAGGAAGATCTGATTTTCCATTGTGGTCAATAAGTGGAGTACACAAGCATCACATCCAGAATGTCAGCACTCCTGCACAAGAGCAATCAATCATCTCTGGATGCAAGATAAAACTGTATCTGCTTAATATTGAAAAAAAAAAAAAGGTCAACATCTGGCTGGTGGTCACAACTCATTTGTTTATATCCTATTCTTTTCAGTTTTTAAGCCATGCTTTTGTTAAACATTAAAATTTGTAAGAGGCTTTTTACTTTGTATTTTCAAACCCACCACCTTTCATCTGCATTTTCTGATGCAAAAAGGGCACATCAAAATAAACAGCCTCTCAATGTTGCTTTTAATCATTTTATGAAGTACATGGTACTTGGGATAGAAATGAGGGCATCATGTTTGGGGATAATTATCATCAAATTCTTTTTCCTATATTGTAAAACATTCTCTCCTTCTGCCTTTCTCTCCTGTAGTTTCTCTATCCCGCACTTAAACAATCCACACTGTGAGAAATGCACACCTCTCTGATCAACAATACCATGACCAGCACTCCAGTGTGTCAGACTTGCAAACAAGGTTCCAAGGTACCTTTCTTATCTTCCTATAGATTTTTTATTTTGTTATGAATATTCACATTACCTTTAGGACAAAAGGCTATAATCATCCAATGTGCCACAACGCCACTGCAATCAATGGTATAGCTCTGCCTGGTGCCTGAGACCAGAAGAAATGTTTGCTCACTTGGTCTGTTTTTAAGGTTCAACAAATTAGAATAAGGATAGAAAGGATGCTTGGCCAGGAAGTGCTAAAAAGATTGGATAATCATTTTCTACCTGGCTTTGGCTGCCTAAAGACTAGGGACTTGTCATCTCTATTCCTTCAGTTTGAGCAATGTATCTGTCATATATCAGTAGCTCCTGCAGTCCGTGCCTGATTTTTGGTGGATCTGCTCACACTGGCGAGTAATAAGCAACTCTCTTTCATTGCCCTAAAGGAAATGCATGGAAAAAGCCTTCCATCTGCTGCAAACTTGCAACTGCAGATTGACTGTTTGTGACTTCTTTCCCATTTTTAGAGCTGTTCATTTGCAGCCTACATTTGCTTACATAAAAATATTAGTAGGGGTATGATAAATTTACCAAGGGAAGACTTGGTATTTCCTGCTCTGGGTTCTGCATCTTTCTCTTCCCTTTCTGATCCTGGAGCTCTGTGATCCTTTCCCTTTCCCTGCAAATGTTGATTTTGCTTTAAACAAAGACTCGTCTCGTCAAGCTCATATTTTTTACACAAATCACAGAGCGAGAGTTGTTGCTCACTTTCTCATCCACACATTGCAATCCCTATCAACCTTGGCAGTAATACAATATCACCAGAGGGCATCACCTGCTTTATGAACTACTGTAACTTCAATAAAGCACAGGCCTGCCTGTACTATTCCAGTCTAGTTTGTAAGTCTAACTACAGATGGGCTGCCAGACCGCATCTTATTATAGAACCAGATTTCCCTTAAATCAGTCTAAAAGACTGTGCATAGTTTTTTCAAAAGCTTTTGTTTTTTTTCCCTTTTGATTCTATTAAACTCAAGAGATGTGAAGACACATACTTCCAATGTGTTTGCTTCATACAGGGAAAATGCTGGAATTGATACATGCTCATAAGAGTAATCAGCTTTGGCAGCAGAAAATGTGTTTTGCAACCCATTATCTTTTTTCTTATGAGAAAATGATATTGGCAAAATGATGCTATGTCCACAGCCACAGGATCTGGAGGGGCCAGAGTGGTACCATGAAACAGGAAATCAGTGGAATGTACTAGCTTGGTCAGGATAGTCTCACGATTCATTGATGGGGGTCCATTTAGGATCCCTAGACAAGCAATCTGTACAGTAAGAAAATTAGAAAATAACTAACTACATATATTTTATTTCAATTATTAAGTAATCTGTACTTCACCCATGACTGAGTAGGAAACTGGTGAAATGTTGTGAGCCAGGGACAGGTAGTTGGACTTCAGCTGGTCTCTGGGCTGACATGAAAGCTGATGTATTGTGCAGATTGATCCAGGGCTCTTCAGATGTCCCCTGTTCTGTATGGGATCATTTGGCAGATGGATCAATCTAGAAGAGGGGGCTAAGGAACCTGAGTAGTAAGTCTAAATGGTAGAAGGTCAGGAAAGAAAGCTAATCATTGCATAGGTAAATGTAAAACCAATGGATTTCTCTTTTTCTGCGATTTCTTTCCTTCAAACTCTACTAACATGGGTCCCATTCCTCTTTAAGTCCCTCTTAAGAATACCAACCTAAATGAAACCAGAAGCAACTAAGACATCAGTATCAACTTGCCTAATCCAAAACATGGATTCAAAGTCATCCTGGATATTCTCTATTCTCACAAAAGAAGGTCTCATCATTTCAACCATAAGAAATGAGCAATGGATCTCCTATGTCAGTAGCCTTTCTCTACACCAATGAATCTCATAAACATTTCTTGTTTGAGGTGACTCTTGTTTGAGGGACAGACAGCACTGTGCCTTGCAGTATTTAGGCTAAAAGGAATGGCAGAGGAATTTACTAGTCATTTTGCTGTTGTTCCTATTTACCTAGGACCATCACCTAGTGATTAGAACTCCTAAATACTCACTTTAGGTCTAGAGACTTGTGGGGGTGGAGTGGGAATGGAGGCTTGCTCTAAGCCTGGATAATGGAGAAAGAAAAATTAGAAGCCAGAAGAGTGGGCCACTGGGGGTTGGCTGTTGTCAGCTAGAGTTTGCTATAAATAGATAGTCCCAAGAGGAGGGATTCCATTTATTCTCACACCTCCTCCCTAGCTGACTAGTCTAATGGCATGATTTTATCTAGATGGATTACCACACATGTGCAACCTGGCTCCCTTCTGGCTCCCTTCCTTCCCATTTCCCTTGTATTACAACACAAACCAACTCCCAGCAGAATCAGAGTGATGAAGGAGGATCTTCAGTTCTGCATACATTACAGGGATCACTACTAAATGCTTGGGTGATAAACACCACTGGAGAGCACAGAATGCTCCAGGAGAAAACGATCTTTAATAGAGATACTCTTAAAAGTATCTGCATGGGGTAATGCTAAATATCATGAAGTCTCGGTTACAGATCACAGACCTCAAATACATGAATATTAAAGAAGAAAACAGCAGTGAAGCAACCAAAAGTGAGTGCAAGAAGCTACTGGAGAAAATCACTTTTGTTGTCTCCTTTATCGGGCCAGTTCCAGGTAAAACCATGATAGATAAAACCTTCTCATTAAGATTCATCATCATACCTTTTCACCCTTCTCAGGCTCCTTAATCATTCCATTTCTATCATGTTCTTCCAACAGTGAAAAGATCTGACAATAATTATTTTAAGTGTATGTGTATGAAAGTGATGCTGGATATTTGCATTTTAATTGGGAAAAAAAGATTTAATGTAAGGAGTGACTCTTCAACAGTGGAATTTCAGGTAAAAATGAGAAAATGAAGACTAGGTGAAGTTTTGGTTTATAAAATCTTTAAAAAGTACCTACATATGGTTTTCTTTATTCATGCAGTTCTCTTCTTCAAGGCTAATCCAACTCTAGTCTCTTCCCTCTCTGAGAATGGGTGCTGTTGACTGGGGGAAGTGGGGCTACTCATAAGGTACATATATCAAGCCTTTTAACTATTTATCCTGGAAAACTTTGGTTACTACCCATACTCTTCCACATGCAATCTCCATAGCTTCTGCAATGACCTCAGCCATATGGAGATGCCATTCTCATTGAACATGCTATGGGGCACAACACATTTGAGATGCTGTCACTTTCCAGACACAGCATGAGCTCATGCCTCTGCTGCTGCGTATGCATGTGGGTGTGTGTGCAAGACACATGCTTGCAACATGAAATTTCAAGTTAAAAAATAAACGGAGGAGCATAACTGAGTTGCTGTAGGACAGAAGCCACCATAAAATATAACACACATGATTAATCTAAACAAACCTCCATGGTTTTCATACCATATCACTTGGTTACGAGTTCCATCTTGTTCAAGTTTGATTCTGTGATCATATTGTTGTGTCATAAGAATAATAAAAGACATAAATCTTCATTTCATGAAATTGATCACAAACCTAAGCAAAGAGGAGGTCACTTTACCTGCTGTATTGTCTAAACAAATCCATTGAGGGATCTTGAGTCGTTTAATCATAGTGCTGTCATTTGGTTTGGGTAAGCATATTTTCCCTTCATTAGATTTAATATATAATCTCATTATAGAAATCTGACACTCTGCACTGACTCTCAACTCATAAATCAGCCTCTACTTCTATTCCTAAGGCCCAAGAAGGAAAAAAAAATAGCAACCAAGTGTGATAATAAAATGCACAGTATAACATTATTCCTTGCCATTCCACTCCTTATCCTCACTGTTGATTTATCTAGTACTATTGCCACAAGGAATATCATGCTGACTTCCAGTTTTATATGTAATCAGACATTTAAAAATATGTCACTCATGAATCATTCCAAAATACCACCTAACTTTTCCCTATCTAATCATATCAGCTATTTTTTCCCTGTATAACATCATCCAACATCTGGGTGCTCATGGGCTATCAATATATTCATTTATAGAGTACCTAAAACATGTCTTGTATTTTGTCCAGTGTTAAACAGAATGTGAAGGACTAGCAGACATATTCTCTGGCTTTAAAGACTATAATTTTAATCCAAATAAAGAGCTTCTCTAAACATTGTTATGTACATATTGGCATATCTATAATAAATAGACATAAAAATAACCTATTTGCTGACATAACCTTTTTCTACTTAACGTTTTTAATTTAAAACTTTCCTTTTATACACAAAGAGGGGATTTCTCTTTTATAACATTTGACCCTTCAAGGATTGTTGATCTATTGAAGCCATATAATAAATGCTTTAAATCCAAAGAGAAATGAAACTAACCAAAGAAGATATGAGTTCTATTACAAATAAGAAAGATATTAAAATGCACTTGTTGGTTCTCATGTAATAGGAGCTCACATGTGATGCCTTTTAGCATAACATGGATACAGTCATGCTTTTGGTGGAAGGGAGTTATAGAGCAATTTCTTTAAAACCTTTCCCTCTGGCTGCCTAACTTTGTTAAGCTTCATTTAAATTTTCATTTTACTTAGGAAGTTATAATTGTGTGCCTGGTTGGTCCAATAATTCCTTAAAGATTAAAAACTTCCTCCTCTAGATTTCAAATTTGTAGATGATCTGCGGATATTCAGTCACAATACCATGTCAGGCAAAGTCCTGGCAATGCTCAAGAGTTAAAACTAGAACTTAGCCCCTCAAACTTTTTGGCCACAGGGATGCTAAATCTTCATATTACCCTCTGTGAAAATAGAGATTAGTGTAAATACACATTGTCCCTAAGAATCTGATCTGGCCCGTGGGTAAAAAACAAATAAGCAAAAACAATAACAAGAAGAATTGACCAGCAATTTCAAATTTTCAGCCAGATCCTGGTGTAGATGAAAATGGTCCACAAAGAGTAAATGGTTTTATTATTTAAAAAAAAATATATATATATATACATATATATATATGTGTGTGTGTGTGTGTGTGTGTGTATATATATATATATATATATATATATATATATTCATGAAAAAGTGATGAATATGATTCCAGAAAATTAATAATACTTATTTTGCAAGGGATCTGTGTACATATGTATATATTATTTGAAAAACTGCTGGAAAGCCAAGCAAGGCAGTGTGTCTGTAGTCCCAGCTACTAGGGAGGCAGGAAGATTGGTTAAACCCAGTAGTTTGAGACTTACATACTGAATTACATAGCAAGATTCTATCTAAAGAACAAAAATGAAACAAACAAACAAAAATACAGAAACAAAAAAAATTGCTGGAAGATAGAGAGAATGAGAATATATGTGTGCACTTAATGCTTTTAAAAAGTCTGAAAAACTATAGCATCAAATTCCACTCTGAAATGTGCTACCAAAGCTTCTCTGGGTGTGCTCTACAATAATGTATGTTCTGCTGTTGGTATTTATGTTTCTGAGACTGCAAAAATAAGGAGAGAGAGAATGAGTCCTGATTAGGATCACACCCTACAGTGAGAGGTGCAGCCCCAACAAAAGGATTAAGGTTGACACTATGGAGGTTTAAAGGAAATGGCTGACCCTGTAGTCTGATCAGAGTTCAGGGAGGAAGAGAACAAAGGAAAAACAGGAAAGATAGGAAGTGGTGCACATTCAGAGGGAGAACTTGGGAAATGTTCAACTCTTAATGCTTTTCCCTAGAATAATCAGGGATATCATGTTTGATCCAAAATAGTAAATTTTTGCTTTGTATGCTGGATCACTCTTTTTATAAAGTGTCAACTTCTCAGTAAAACTTGATATACTTAAAGCACTGTCTGTTTGTATTCGGTAGGAATAAAGTTGAAGGCAATAGAATGAAGAGGTCCTGCTACCTACAGCACCCCCCCCCCCCCCCCCAACTGAGATTCTGTGCATGGCAGCAGTTCCAATAGGTCAGGAGCAAAGCAAACAAACCATAGTCTGTGCTGGAGAAGGGAATGGAGAGAAGCACATGGCACCGCCAATCAGCTGAGAGGCAGATGGCTCAGGCATGGATGTGAGCCAGATTCCCTGTTCTCAAATAAAGAAAGAGAAGGTGACTCTGGAGCAGGATGGATGATGCTTGAATCACATAAGCAAAACTGAAAACTAACATGTTCTTTTTGGTGAACACAGAATGGTTTAATATCAGTAGAACCTAAGCTGAGAATTACCCGATGCAAACTCACACAGTGTTTTATATAAATTTATGACCAAAGTTTGGCCTAGGTTTATACTATTCCACTTTAGAATATAAAATTACATCTAGTAAAATTGGTGAATTCTAGACAAAAGCATGCACATTAAACAATTTTATTATTATTTGACTGTTGGTATAATTCCTTCTCTTCCCTGTACCTTACTGTCTAAAAGGACTGCCCTCCTAATAATTTATTTGTGTCTATTTTACCTTCCTTCTCAACATTTTTAAACACTTACTATCTATACCATAAATCTGAGATTTATTATCTTCTCTCTTCTGTTATTAAATACTCTTACATAAATTCTGTACTCTCAACTGCATTGAAAATTCTTTAGAAGAATGACATCTATCTCTGGGGAACTCTAATGGTTACCTAGGTTTATCAGAAAACATTCACTATTAAAATGATTACCATATTGCTTTTCCTTATGCATAAATGGAGCAATGCTCAATGTCACTCTCATAGAGCAATGAAAATACAAAATGCATTAGTTATAAAGCCTCTTATCTCTATGTATGACTCCTTAGATACCAATTAAAAGAAATGGGTATTTGCCCAATGTCACTGTTATGATTTGGATATAAGATATCCCCCAAAAGCTTTTGTTAATACAGGAATATTCATAGGTATATTATGAGAGCTATAACCTCTTAAGTCCATTCTTGTCGCGACCCCTTGCCCGCAAGGAAGACGCAACTCAGGAATCTTCTCTCAGCAGTTTATTCAGGTCCCTTGATATTTATTATTCTTTCTTCTTCTCTCCTTCCCGGATGCCCTCCCAGCCTTAATAAAGCATCCCAAGCCCCAATGCAAAGCTGCCGCGTGGAACTTTCTCACAGGGTGGTGAAAAATCATGTGCCAACTCTCTCAGATAAGGAGTTGTTTGTCACATACCACAGCGGAGCCAGCGCCATCTCGTAATGGCGACCATAGTCTGCAGAAACGGCAGAAGCAGCTCACCACACATTCTAATTTAAATGTAGGCAGTTGGGGCATGACTGGAGAAGGTGGATCACTGGGAGTGTACCCTGTAATGGTTGATCTTTCAGTGTTCAATGGCTTCTTTTTCCTCCCTTCCCCCCATCTCTATATCCCCCCCCCCCCCCCCCCCCACCCCTTCTCCTTCCTGACACTCTTTAAACTGAGCAGTTCACCTCTATTGGGCCCTTACCCCATGATGTACCACCCCATCTTGGGTCCAGAACAATAGAGTTAATTGTGTATGGACTGAGATCTCTAAAAACATAAACCCAAAATAAAAATTTTCTTCTCTAAGTGTTTGTTGTCAGGTGTTCCAGTCACAGTGATAAAAAGCTAACTACAATAGAAGTTGGTACCAGGAGTAGCGGGGTGACTAAACTTTGGAGTTGGCTGGCAGGAGGAATTTGGAAAAGTTTAATATGCAAGCTGGAAAAGCT